TGGATTAAAAAAAAGAGTATTAAAAATGTTCCTAAAGACACATGAATATTTCAGCCATTGTTTTGTGATGGCAAAGCAAGTCCAATGCTACATTTCATTGATTCACCGAGTTCATGATTAAAATAAACTAGCATACCTTTTTTTTTTTTTTTTTTTTTTTTATCAATGAAAAAATTCTTTTTAACAGTTCCTCACGGCAGGCATAATATGCATCTGTGGTCTGATTTACTGCACATGCTGCCTTCTCTAGCATCATGTTAAGTTAGGGTATCAGCATGGCAGGTCACACAGTGGGAGAGACCTTTTACTAATCACTACACATCACTTACTACTGGCACACAGCTCATTACCAAGAAATCCTCCAACTAGCTGGCTTTCAAATGTGCTTACACTTTGATTTTCTTTCTCTTTCTCTTTTTTCCTTCAGAACAAAGATTATACTTTTACATAAAAGCTTCTGTTGTGTAATTTTGTCAACTAGGGTTCTGAAGTCAAAAAGGCACCCAGTTAATTTCCCATGATTATAAAAAGAAGACTGCAAGCTTGTATCAATGGTAGGCCTGTAATCTTGGGTTTCATTAAGAAGGTCAGAACATTTTTATTTGTCACCTATTATTAAAATGTTTGAGGGCTGCCATTAATTTGATTTTCAGGCCACAGAAATCTCACTGGAAATTAAAATGTGATCCTGCTGTTGCTTTATTGCTACTTTTAGTAGGTAGGATATAGCTGCAGGAACTAAGAGCTCTCCTGCAATTTACAATTGGTTACTCTGGACAAATGGCAGGTGACTAATGCAAGACAAACTGTTTGTACAACCGAGGAGCGGTTAGTTTAATTTCAGTTTCTGAAAGACGGACTGAATCTGAATCATGAGTTGCCCCCTGCTCATACACACAACACATTTTATATACAAAGACTAATATCATGTGATCATTACAGAAAACAGAATTTAAGAGCCTAAGAAAATAAAATATAATTGGACAAAATGAAATAAATTTTTAACTCACCAGCCATTTGCTGAATGCCGCTGAAGGCACCCAAGTTACTGGAGGAAGTTGCTTGCTGCAGAAGCTGCAAATTAATAATAAGACGATCATTGTCATCTAAGTGATGTTACAAAAAAGCAACAAGATTAAAACAAAATTATCCATCAAATTAAAGTTGGAATACTTATAGTTTCCTTTACTTTTATTTTGTCTCTTGTTTCTGCCTATTGTTGGAATGAACATCCCCAGAGTTGATGCTGTAAATCCATATTAATGTCTAATCTCTATTAAGAAACACACAGACACTGGGGAAACTCAATAACATCGCTGCTTTAAAACAATTAATCAATTTACTCTTTTTAACAACCAGGTGTTGAATCTATTTAAACCAACATAGCGTGACTAATTATATCCCTCTGCAGTCTAGTAGTTACCATAACTCATCTCTGTCAATCATGGTCCATTCTCACCCAACCCCTTAAATTCAGGTTTCTTTCTTTATCATCCTTAGAACAAGGTACATCAGGTGCACAAATATTCATTAGTTCATAGGCTGGCACTTAGCTGATATAACAGTCAAGATTCACTATTAACCCTTGATATACTGGGTATTTTTTTTAAAGACTGCCAGCTAAATGAATGTCTATGCAGATTTATAACCACCCCACCTCACATATACGCACAATTTATGCAATCTGCAGATACAGAGAAACAAATCTCTGAGCACATGGGAACGTCCCAGTTGTCAATATGCCATGTAGCGTGACCATTCACAACTTCACAGCGGCAAAAGGCAGAGACCCCTGACCACTTGAACAATAAGAGAATCTCTGTTATCAGTCTATGATTTATGACACACTCAAGCTGTTCCAGATTCCCCCCAGTAGAGGGCAGCTTTACAATGCAAGGTAGCGAGCTCATTTTTCTCTCCTAGCTTTCAAAGAGTCAAAGAAAATGTCATTTTAAAAATGCCCAAACGCCCATCAAATCTACCTTCTATAAAGTAATATGAACCTTGCACATTTAGTACCAATAAAAGAGCATTTAATTTACAGACTTTCACTAGTTAATATGATAGCCATTTTCAAATATATTAAAAGATTAACTTGAATGAGTACAGGGAATATTTCCATGTGAAACTGATATGCAGAGCAGAATTAAATTCAAACATTGTGGATTCAAAAGACCATTCACAAACACAGCTGAAGAAGGTTTTCAGATGTCTACCTGATCTCTGAAAGCTGAAGATTTTACTTTGATAAGAGAAAGCATCCAAAAAATGTATTCACACTTCTAAAAAAGCAGAATTTAATGCTCAGTAGAAACATCAGAATGAAGATGTATTTTCCAGCTGAAATAGAATTTAAATCTTCAGAAGACTACAAGGCACTGAAATAACTTGAGACTTTCATTCTAAATCGCTGTTATTATTACAAAATGTTTTATATAGTGCCATAAATTTACGTGGTGCTTTCAGGAATAAGTCACATTATCTGCCCCCAAGTTAAAATGTAGGGAATTCCATTTTATCAGGGTTCAATATAATTAGCTTCCAGTGTGCTAAAATAAATCAGTTTAAGTCTAAATATGTGGTCACTAAAACAACGAGGAGTCCGGTGGCACCTTAAAGACAGATTTATTTGGGCATAAGCTTTCGTGGGTAAAAAACCCACTTCTTCAGATGCATCACGTGGTCACTACATTTCACAAGAACTTACAGCTAGGTACTGTGGTGTGAGTCCTCCAAGGCCTGTGAGGTTCCCCCAAGTGGCAGTGTTGAGCTGTTGCATCTGTTGTGCCAACTGCTGTTGTAAACGCCTCTGCTCCTTATCCTTTTGGGTATCAGCAAACTTCACCACTATAGGCGAAGAGCAGCCCTATGATTGGACAGATTGGAAAAGAAAGACGTTAACATCACACACATTTACATGATTCTACCTTGACGTCTTCTTACCACCTTTAAATCCATTTGAAATAACCGGAAATTATTTCTGAAATTATGTTTATTAATTATTATTCAACTATTTTTAAAATGTGGCTCTTGAAAAATTATTAATTTCCTCTCTCTTTTCACTGAACTCCTTTTCTTCCAGATCTTTGTGGATGTTCAACTATCTGAGTGCCCCTGGAGAGACAACAGAATTTATCAATGCTCTTTAATTAAGCTTCACGGTTCATGTGTTTTAAAGATGGACTTGTCTCTTTCTTTTCTGTCTGTTTTCAAGTAATAGCCAAAGACACTGATGGACATAAACAGTGCCACATGAATGAAAACAGATCCTCTATTTTTATCTAATGAAAACTGTTTGCTTTCAGATATAAACCTCAAGATTTTTTGTTTTAAATCTACAGAACAATGTAGCATCATAATGATTCCAGTTTACTTTTGGCAAATGGATTAGAACATTTCATGATTTGTAGAAACCATCTCTCTTTGAGTTTTATCCTGCTGCCCTTCGTTGTAGTGTCTGAGTCCCACTCCATTCCCTACCCACTGTCATGCCGATTTCTCTTCTACCCTTTGACTGTTGGGTGCCTCAGATCCAGAAATACAGCAGGATTTTAGACACAGTTTACAGTGTGAAATGGGGGTTTATATCTAACCAAACTCATCCCATGGCTACTCTCACTACACTGTGAGCTTCTTCAGAAAAGTTCCTATTCTCTATTTCTGCAAAGAGTAGCCATATCCTTTCTCTCTGAGAAACCTCACAATAGGACAATGATAGGAACATTCACAATCAACAGACAAAATGATGAAATAAGCCACGGTAATAATATCTTTTGTGTGAAGACCTCCCATCAATACCATTCCTTTAGAATTATCATCTTAGAAAATGATCACTTGAGATGTATTATTCCACCCCCAGTACCCTGCTTGTATATTTCATTGTAAAAATGTCTTTCAATTTTTCAGTGAATAAAAACTGAGATACACACTTCAGCAATTGAATAAAGATTATGGAGGAGTCCGCTTGGTATACAATTGTCTCTTCTCAGTGATTTTATACTAATATTAAAATCAAGCTCTTATTTAAAAAAAAAATGAAATATTTTTCCAGTTTAGCTAATGAAAATGGTAATAGCAAGCTTGTATCCCATTTCAGTTTGGCTTTGGTGGTATTAGGCTAAGTGTGGGGATAGTTTACTGCTTGCTACATGTACATACGTGAAACTCTTAGGTCTATTTCAAAGGGAATATAAATGAATTTCAAAACGAAGAAATAGTATATGGCTGTTCCAGTACTCAGCTCAGCAGCTCAATACAACAGCTGATATCATATATATGAATGCTGAAATGTCAGTAAATTGTATAAAAACAATCTCTCTGCAATTTAGGAATCTATAATATTTTTTCCACTTTCTGCTCTTATTTCATCATTTTCAAAGGAGCAAACATTCTGAATATTGAAATTATATGTAGCAAAATGGCTCTATATGAGAAAAATGTTGCTATTTATTCCGTGTTAACAAATTAGTGTCTCCTACTAACCCTCCATTTGAGTGATTTAAAAAAAAAATAAACACAAAAATGAGGTAGAAAAGCAATAAATGAGGGCAGCGATTATGGCTTTAAAAATGAGTTGCTTAAACCAGGATAGAGAGTAAAAGGCACAGAGCAATAGGAACATTCATTATTTCCAGGAGACACTTGCTCTTCTGAACATGAACATTCTCATCATTTTGAGTCACTTTGAAAAATACGTTTTAGTCAATGATGTGTGCCAAAGAACTGAAAATAATGAAATCAGAAAAAATAACTTCAGTGGTTCAATTGAAACTTGACTGCATAATACAAATAATCTTCCATTTTAAAAATCCCCCCCCCAACATGAAATCAAAGTGCCCAGGGGCAATATTATTTCAGAGAGTGTCCAGATTTAATAGCGCCTCTCAAAAGTCAACTTTTTACCATCATAGCATTGACATTAATAACCAAGAGGCAGGAAATGCTTTTGAATGTTGACCAGAACAACACCTTCTTTCCGTCTGGAGAAGTACCCCCCATTATGCAAGCATGTATGGGGTATCTCCTACCTCATTATTTTATGGCTGCTTTTTATCTCCCCTTCTCAATGGGAAGCACTGCCTGTGTACCTTTCCTTCTGCTGGCAAGATAGAACATGCAGACTCCTATTGGTACCATGCCATGAATTGGTGAGCTGGAAGGGCTGCTCCACCTCCCACAAAAGAGTAAGCACATCAGTTCTGCTACAGACCTGAGCCCAGCTGACATCACGATGCTAAGGTCCAGGATATTCTGACCCGTCCTGTCAGTTTGGGATCTTATGTGTACCCTATTTATAGGTGCAGATTCTCCAACCTTTAAGGCTGCTGAGTAGTACTTTCCTCTGAGAGTAGTTATTTATATAGGGCTAAATTGTGATGCACTTCCTCACTTCAAACAATTGGATTACCTGTGGCATAAGGTACTATTCAGCATAAGGAAGTATATCACAATGGGGCTTGGTTTGAAGTACGGTACAATACTCAGCATATGAAAGGGAGAATCTGACCTTTAATGATTATTTCATTTTACAACATCCGCTGACGTGAGGGTGATTCATGTGAAACTCATTACCCTAGACCAAAAATACATGGGAACACATGGAAAATACACATCAAAACCACAGCATTATTAACAACACTTCTGTTTTATGTGGATCCAAAAAGTAGCAAAAATATAGCGACCCAAATTAATGGGGCAGTGCATGGCAGAAAAATAAAAAGAAGCATTATTCCAATTAACTAAAATGTCACTTTTTATTCCATAGATAGTGTCATAGTGCACAGTAAAATATATTAGGTAATAGCAGCTTCCTAGTGAAGATAATTTCAGTAATTCTGATTTTTCTCTGTGGCAGATTCTCATCTAACACTGTATATTCAGGGTCTATAAAAATGCATTGCACTGAAAAGAAAACACATTGATTATAAAATAAACTTAACCAAAGTCAAATGTGATGTTTGGAAAGACAATAGCTTTGCAATGCCAATATCATTACTGGAAGAGTACAGAAAATAGTTGACATGCACTGTCTCTTTTTTTCCCTCTGCCTTTCCCTTTGCTCATTACACAAAGCAGCTCAACGACATGACGCAATAATGATTGTTTAGTACCCAGCATGCTTTGGGAGACTAGAGCATTGCAAAGAAAAACTACTTGAGAAAAAATTGAAAGGCCCTCGTTTAAAAAGAATAATAATTAAAAAAAAAAAGAAAAGAAAAGATGAAACAAATGCACATAACATCAAAATGCCACCTCCGAGAAAATCATCAGTACACAAAGATACGGTATACATAATACAGTATAACATGCACTCTCAAATGATTAAACTAGAAGATCCAGAATAAGTAAAGGCTTAGTACTCTTGTGAGACCTTTTGTGCAAAATTCTGAAAGACCATGACATAAATCACAGACTAAAAAAGCTGAGACCACCAGATGAGCTGTGACAATGCGATAACTATGCCGATAAGTGGCTCTTACCCTGAAACTGTAGTCGCACCAGGTAAGTAAAGTTAAAGCTTCGTGTTGCTCATTATTAGAAAGCACGATGCCATTTTTAGGGAATAAAAGATTGCTGCTTGTACAGAGCCTGGCGTGGCAGTGCACTGCAGCTAGTCCAGCTCTTCAATGTGCTCTGACATAATTAGCATTTTTATTGGCTACATGAAGTAGGAGAAATTATATTAACTTAAAAAGAGATTCCATATGCAACCCCCCCCCCCAAATTCCCAAACACATGCACTAGGAACTTGGCATGGCCAGGTTAAAAATCTCTTTTGAGCCTTTTCCCAGAGTAGCACAAACTGCAATGTTTTAAAATCCATATAAAGTGAGGCTTTATTATTATTATTATTTTTGGTTTAAGATAAAGGATAGTTCAGTCCCCAGATATGTGTTATTTATTCATTTATGTTTATTTTCTATTGAATGCCACTGGATGCATTATAAAAGCAATGCTTGGGTTCAACCCAGAGATCTTTTTACTTGTGTTTCAAGATCATTCGGAAAAATAAATGTCACAAAAAGAGGTAGAGTGAGTTTTGTGAAAGTTTAAATCTGTGAGATTGTCACGTGTCTGATCTTCTTCAGGAGACCATGGCTTTACCATTCACAATCATTTGCACAAAGAAAACAAAGAAAGGGCAGATGATACAGTACTGTACCTCCATGGTCTGAGACTGGTGCATGGCTTTGATTGCATTCTGTGCCATTGCCCTTGTAGAAAATGTAACAAACGCACAGCCTGTGGGAACAAGGGGACAGGGAGCAGGAAAGACAAAAAACAACAAGACAAAAGGATTGGACGCTTGTTAAACCAACACAGTCTACGAGAACGGCCACAAGACGACACTGTTCTCAGTAGTACATAAAAGTAAACAACTCCTCTAATTTATTTATCAACAGTGCTGACTTGCTAATCTGACCATAGATGAAAGAAAAAAATTAGATTGGTGGGGGTGGGAGAAAAGGGTTTGGAGGTTTTTGTTTTGTTGTTGTTGAGCCACAGGGTTTGAAATAAGCAAAGCTTGTTTGTATGTTCTAAAATGTAGTTTGGATTGTATATTTTAATCCTTTCCAAAGCATGCATTAGCAGCTACCTGCTATTTCTTTTTATTTATTGTTGGTTTAAAATAAACTGCCGGCATCACTGGCAATTAAGTACAAATTTAAAGAGCTCATAATGCCACTGGTAAATTTCATCAAGATGGTATGAACACAAATAAGAATGAGGAAAACATGTATAAAATGCTTTGAAACCAAGCGCCGGAGGACCCAGTGATGCTGCCAGACCAAATTCAGTAATGCAGGGGGAATTTAAATATTTTTTAAAAAATGAATTTTTCAAATACAAATCTTTACGAGTTTTGTTTTTTTGAAGTCCTGATACTTATGGGTACAAGCATAATTCTCTGATCTACCAAAACTATGACCTCCTTCAAATATACTGGAGCTGTGTGTGTGTGTGAGAATAATTGAAAACCACTTTTTCCCTTTTAAATCATAGAAAAAAGAATAGCTCAGTGCCGGAGCTGTTTCCCCCTGCCGGCCTCCCCTTTATTGCTACTCATACCAATACTGGGCATGGTGTAGGTCAAGTTTAGTACTGCACAGCTCACTGCCCTTTTAACTAATAAAAACACGGCCTTTTGAAATTTACATTTTATTCTTCTTCATGCACCCTTGGGCATCTTAAAGAAAAAGACTGTGAAATTAATGCAGATTCAGGCTGATTTTGTAATAATACCATGGCACACTAAAAGCTTAGCTAAAGCAACACAGACTTATTTCACTTGTGATCTCTAATGACTTTAACAGCGCATTGATTTTCAGCTCCCTTAGCCTTGCACAGTTTGAACTTCGGTTTCAGAGAATAATTTAGTGTTCCACTCAATTTCCTCAAAACATTATTATTATTACTACTTAAAAGATTTCCAAATGAAGCAAATCTAAACACAGAGAGGCTGAAGCATATTGTCATTTTAGAGCTAATGCATGAAAGCTATGTTCTGGCACCAAAAATACAATATTGTTGCCCCTGTGGCCAATGGGCAAAATAAACCATTTTGCAATCCAGCAGGCAACAGATTGCTTGGTTTATGTAAATCAATTTGTGAGCCATAAAACATCTTTTCTCTTTTGATCTGTATGTACCTGGTAAGATTATCAAGTCAAGACTGTATTAACATTTTAATCAAACAACAGTAAGAGAAAGCAATGCCTGATCATTACCCAAAAGCACTACATCTAGTCATGAAAATAAAGTCAATGCATTTTTGCATCATGCGGTAATTTTTAAAAAAATATATAAAATCCCTTGATACAAGGGAAACTAATCCACTATGCATCTTACTGATAGATTAGCATTATAAATTTTAAAGTTAGAATTCTTTATGCAGATTTTACAGTAGTGTTGCGCTACTTTATATATTTCTCAGATAATAGAACAGCTGATGATGTTTTTATTATTTAGACACATTATGTTGCTACTACTGTTATCCAGAAAAATTTTTTGTCAAAGAAAATAATTTCACAAACATCTTTCTATAAGGCATTCTAGACAAAATGTGTAGTAGAATGGTAAATAAGCTACAGTACCTCTGCTAGATTCCATATTGATGCTGTGCACTAAAATTAAAGAGGCCCAAATTTACCATCAGTCTCAAAGTAATCTCTCTTAAAAACATTATTCTTATTATTAATATAGGAAATAACACTAAGCGTTTTCATTTCTTATCTTGTGACTTCAATGGGGGGAGAGAACAAACTATTAGAGATACATTAGGGGGAAAACATACGGAGCCTTTGATAATATTGCTTTTAATGGTCAAGGAACCGTTTCATTCACTTCCCTTGCTCTTATTATCCAGAAGCTTGTACCATAGTTACAATTACCAAGTGGAGGTTAAGAATGCAAAAGAAGCATGTAAAATGTCAACAAGAATCAATAAGACACAGTTTATGCATTTATCACCATTTCTACCCAGCAGTACAGCTGTAAGTAACTTACTGAGAGATGTTGCAATTAGCAGGTCTCAAAAGAAAATTGAAGCAGCAGACAATTAAGCTATGTGGCCATATAGCTGGAGCAGATTACGCCCCCCCTGCCCCACTCCCTCCCTGCTCATTCCCTTTTTAACCACAAAGCTAAGTCATTGGGGGGCTTTCACTGCCAATATTGTGGCATAGCCTCCCTCTTTACCCCCAACCCAAATTCATTTGAAAGGCCTCTAACTGTTATGTTCTGGCATGAAACGATTTTTATAACAGAAAATACCATACACTGAGCTATTTATTTAAAGGAAACTTGTTCCCTGTGAAGCCCATGACGAATGTGTGTGCACACTTTGCTCTATTCCAAGATGCTCAAAATCATTCTATAGAGGAAGGGAGGCTGAATTACATTTTCATTATGGTCTGTGGGGTCAGGGCTACAAAATTAGGTCCATATTCTACCCACAATCCACAGCAAATTTCCAACTGATAACCTCTGGCCAGTTGCGCACATGATTACCTGATTTGCACAAACAATTGTGGGCACAAATTAAGTGTGCAACTGCACTACTACATTATTTGAAAACCTGGCCTTTAAAGTGTCATCGTTAGAATCAGCACAACATTGAGATGAATGAGTTCACAACTCTTTCTAACCATTGTTTCAGGCTAAAAACAATGCTTTTATATATATATCTATATCTCTATAAAAGCTTTCCTTCTGCAAAATCCAAATCTGCCATGCTTGGGAGGAGGGGTCAGATAAATACACTATTTAGGGCAGTTCTGGCCCACAGCTGTTGCACAACCCTCTTTACTCTCGAAATTAATAGGTAGTAGATGTTGAGTGAATGGTAGGGATTACTCCTTTTACATAGTGTACAATCAACCTGTAGAATTCATGGCCACAGGTGTTATTTGAGATACATACAGACAGCTTTATAACCATTAATAACATTGTAGCTATGCATGTTAAGATAAGACTAATCAAATCTCATGCTTCAGGAAGGATTTCCACATCCCCTCACCTCATCATATAAAACACCGTATAATTGCCTAAGGCAAGGAGCATGCTTCCTCTGAAGCATCAGCTATCAGACATTGCCAAAGGCAGCATGGTTGGACCTGATGAACCAATTGTCTGATCTGCTATGGCAAGTCCTATGCTCCTTAGATGGCCAAGCCCCTTGCCTCAACAATTCTCTTACTACAAATAGGAGCAGTGGCGCTCAGTTGGGGGGTAGGGGGGAGGGTAGGTGTGAGAGGGGGAAGAGGAGAGGAAAATATAGTAACAAGAACATGAAGACACAACTTTTTGTTGCCAAGACAACATGGAAATTACTTCCCCTTAAATCACCAAGTGGGTAACAACAAACATCATTTTGTAAATGTGGCCAACCTGTAATTCACCTTGCAATTATTTGTTATCTCTACTTTCAAAATGTCAGGGATCACTAACAGAAAAGAAAGGGGGTGAATTTCACTTATTTCTGTAAGGCTGCCTTCTAACCCGCTAGAGCAGATAAACCATCGACTGGGGAAACGTTTCTCAAAGTAATTTCCTCCTACTGAGGGAATCGGAGGGAAGCAGGTCGCCCTACCACAGTACAGATTTTGGAAACACATCTGTTACACTGGTCACCTCCGTTGAAAGGATATCTAAACTCAGATGTTTTGTCTTTTCTCACAATTATAACAGATTTTAGAGAGAACTGGCAAACCTATCACCAATACATCTCTAATGCCTCTCCCCTCTCTTCCCCCCAAATCCCAGGAATCTCTGCTCCAGGACGATTTTCAAAAGTGCTAAGTCTTGGCCTAACCGTGCTCCCATTGAAGTCAATGATGCCCCATTTATTTAGGCCATCATTGATCTCCTTTGAAGCTGCCATCCCAGAAGCATATGCACAGTACTCCATCAGAACGTCTGTACAACCTTGACAAGACTTGTGAACGACATAGGAAGCAGAACATTTTCAAACGTGATTTCACCTAAATAAACCTAGACTGTTTTTCAGAGAACCCACAACTCCCAAAGAAGTCAATGCAAGCTGTAAGGACTACAGACATCTATGAATCAGGTCACTTTTACTTACGTGGCTAAAGTGGAGTTCAGAATGTAAGTTTGAAAAAACTGGCCTGAATGGATTTAAACATTAAATAAAGAATCAAATTTATTTAAAAATATCTCAGTGGCTTTTTATCAATCTACTATTTCGTGACCTAGAAGAAAGATTTAAGAAGAAATTTTGAAAGCTAGATAAGAGACTGGGACGCTCAATTCCCATTAAATGTTGCTTTCAAAATCTCGGCCTCTGGCTATACAGGTTGTGGTCTGGTGATTGTGTTTTGCCTTTCCAAATTCCAAGTTCAACTGGATACAACATTCTTCTTCACTTCTTCTCCTAAATGATAGGGGTGTTGTGTCCAGTCGATCAGCTGCCACGTTTCATCCCAGAGGTGAGTGTACATCAGTGAGTGTTGAAGCGATCCCTGAGCGCAGCCTATTTAAATTTGTAAAGTGCTTTGGCGTCTCTGGGAAGAAAGGCACTATAGAAATAGAAGACATTGTTAAAATGAAAACTTACAAGCAATTTGGAACAGGTCTATAAAAGGAAAGGATCTATTCATGTCCAATTATTTCTGGTTGGGTTTGCACAGGAGTTTTCCATGCCTAAGAATTCCTCTGGTTCACAAGTTAGTGTGTTTCATTAAAAGTAAAACTTGAGCAAGTAGTATATTGTAACCCAGGGGTTGGCAACGTTCGGCACGCGGCTCGCCAGGGTAAGCACCCCAGCGGGCCGGGCCAGTTTATTTACCTGCTGACGCGGCAAGTTCGGCCGATCGCGGTCCCCACTCGCCATGGTTCGAGGTCCCGGGCCAATGGGGGCGGCGGGAAGCGGAGCGGGCCGAGGGATGTGCTGGCCGCGGCTTCCCGCCGCCCCCATTGGCCCGGGGCGGTGACCCGCGGCGAGTGGGGGCCGCGATCGGCCGAACCTGCCACGTCAG